TAAAGGTATGGATTAAGTACTATGAAAATATCAAAGATAAAATAATGAAACAATTAACTGGAGGAAGTCAGTTAAGGCCTCACTGTAGAAGTAACATTTGGACTGGACTTATAGTAACAAAAATTTGTCCAGGTAATAAAATGAAGGAATATGTTCTAAGAAGAAGAAATAGCATGTGCAAAGATGGTGTGATAGAAGTCATGGGAGGAAATGATACTAGAACAATGACAGAAAGAACAAGGATGGGTAGCAAAGTGAATGTGAAAGGTAAAAAGAATGAGGGAACAAGGACAGGGCTGAGTTGCTGAAGTCCATTAATTGAGACAGGAAATGCAGGAAAATGGGGAGAACTTTATTTTCAGGGGAGTAGAGAGTAAAGAGTTTTGGAAACATGAAACATGAGACTCACCTATCTTCAAAGGTGAGTACTAAGATAAATATTTGGAAGTTATTTGGCTAATAGGTAGTAGTCGAAGCTTATGGAAATGGATAACATTTCTGGGAATTGTGTAGAGATAAAAGAAAAATAAAATATATAGAGAAATCATTATTTAGGGAGAGTTGGTAGATGGATTCCCCAAAAGAAATGGAGTAGGAATAGATAGAGAAAATGGTGCTATAGAACTGAAGAAAAGAAAAGGCTTCAAGAAGCAATGGTGAACAGTATCAAATGAGAAAGATAGATCAAGTAGGGAAAATATTGTAAAAGTTGACAGCTTTTGTCATTGGGGTGCTTGTTAATCTTAATAAGTGCTAAAATAAAATTTTGTGATCATATGGTCATGTCTTATTTATATAAGTCCCAGACCTCAGAACATAAGATTTCTATCTCCCTCATTGTTAAAAACAAAACAAAACACTAGGCACTTAATGAATGGTAGGATGTATCAGGTAAATTGTTAGGAATATGAAAGTGACTAAGGCAGGGTTCCTACTCTCAAGGAACTCACAGTCTAGTAAGAAGGACACATAAACAGATAAATAATACTGTAACAGGTTCAAGTAAGTCAGAATATTGCTGACTTGAAAAATTTCCAATAATCTTTTTTTCCTAAAACACATAATACTATGACAATACACAGAAGAGAGTGATTTTACTTTCTAGGAAGTTAGAGAAGACTTTGTAGATAAGACATTGAATTGGTCTTGCTATATTGATGAACATGATGATACTAATAATATAATTTATAGAATGCTTATAATAGTAACTGGCACTGCACTAGGCTATCCAATTACTCTTCATAAGAACGCTTCCTGTGAAGCCAGTTTTACCGTCCAAGTTCTTCATCTGAGAAACTTTTGCTTAAAGAGGTTAAGTAATTTGCTCCAAATCTCATGGGTAATAATTAGGAGAGAAGGATTTAAACTTGGGACTGTCTGACTTGACTCTAAAGCCTGTCTTCTATCCTCTACGGTACAATGACTCTCATAGGCTGAAGAAAGTTCTCCTGGAAGAAAAGCACAAAAGGTTCCAAGCAGAGTGTCCAAAATACACAAAGGCATTTAGTCTTAAAAAGGCAGAGCTCTACTAAGGAATTAGATAGTACACTATGGAGTGACATGCCAAGAGAAGGGGGGATTATTTAACATGCATTGTTCTAAAAGCATTTTCGTGTTTTCCTGAAAATAAGACAGTGTCTTATATTTATTTTTCCTCAAGAAGACACCCTAGGGCTTATTTTCAGGGGATGTGTTATTTTTTTTAAGTACGGTACAGCAATCTATATTTATTTAAATAGAGTTAAGTTGTCTTCTTTTGGAACATCATCATAACTCTTCAAACCCTGAATTCCATCCTGAATTTCTTGCGACTCTATTTCCTTTAGAACCATTGGCCCCAATCTCGAGCAATAGAGCTCTCATGAGGCAGATGAGAAGGGCCGCTCCTCTTCTTTACCGGGAGGAAATGCGTGGGTTGTGCAGATATGCTGTGTAGCCACGCCCATCATTAGGTCTTATTTTTGGAGTAGGGCTTATATTGTGCAAATGCTTAGAAATCCTGCTAGGGATTATTTTATGGGTAGGTTTTATTTTCAGGGAAACATGGTATATGTTATATCTCATCTAATTCTCATGATGTTATGAGGTAGAAGTATTACTGTCCATGTCAGCACAAAGCTGACATTTTTGTCATTTTAAAATAAAATGTCCAAGTTCATACACACATTCTGAATCCAAAGCCTGAACTTTTAAACCACTATGCTATATTACTAAAGATATATGAGAATTTTTATTTGTTTTCACCATGATTATATTATTAGTTGTATTATAAAAACATAGTTAAAAATGGGCTATTGAATTTTATAGCTAGGAAATTACTAGCTGTCTTAAGAAGATCAATTTTTTTTTTTTTTTTTTTTTGAGACAGCGTCTCGCTTTGTTGCCCAGGCTAGAGTGAGTGCCATGGCGTCAGCCTAGCTCACAGCAACCTCAAACTCCTGGGCTCAAGCAATCCTCCTGCCTCAGCCTCTCGAGTAGCTGGGACTACAGGCATGTGCCACCATGCCCGGCTAATTTTTTGTATATATATTAGTTGGCCAATTAATTTGTTTCTATTTATAGTAGAGACGGGGTCTCGCTCTTGCTCAGGGTGGTTTCGAACTCCTGACCTTGAGCAATCCGCCCGCCTCGGCCTCCCAGAGTGCTAGGATTACAGGATCAATTTTTGTATAAGAACTAGTCACAGTGCATTGAGTAGCAGAGTAGTAAATGGGAATTGAAAAATTAGAGATAATGAATATAAATCAGTTATTCAAGAAATTTGGTTGAGAAAGAAAAAGAGTCATGTGAACACTTTCAACTTAAATTGTAAATTTCCTGGAATATTGACATATTTTCAAAGGACTCTAAAATATTTGCTAGTGATATTAATTTCAGGCCAGGCATACTAGCTCACTCCTATAATTCTAGCACTTGGGAGGCTGAGGCGGGGATTGCTTGGTGCCAGAAGTTCAAGACCAGCCTGAACAACAAAGCAAAATCCCCATCTCTATAAAATATAGAAAAACTAGCTGGGCATGGTAGCATATGCCTGTAGTCCCAGCTACTTGTCAGGCTGAGGCAGGAGGATTGCTCAAGCCCAGGAGTTTGAGGTTGCAGTGAGCTATGATGATACCATAGTACTCTAGCCCAGCAACAGAGCAAGTCCCTGTTTCTAGTAATAATAATATAAATTTCAGATTATACAGAGAATATTAATACCATGTTACAAAGACTTATAATTTGGTTTCCTTTAAGAGAATAACCTTCCTTTTAAACTCAATAGAATAAGCTGATGTCCATATTATCTACACTTTGCCCAACTGATGGCAATTAAAAATGAAATATAATGAATTGAATATGAAAAGGAAAGCTGGTAATATTTCATTTAGGTGTTGTTGTTGGAAATCAGAAGAATAAAAGTTTTAACATTTAAATTTGACATTTAACTCCTGTAAATGACATAGTTACTCTGTAAATGACATAGTTACATAGTTAAACTCTGATCTATGGATTGATGCCATTCCATTTAAAATGTTGTGATCCTTCTGTGGTTAAATGTACAAAATAAGAACATAGTGAATCTGTCAAATAGTTAAAATTATTTAATTTAAGGCATTTTATGAGATGATGTTATCTTCTACTTCTTGGTATACAAAAGTTCTTTCTTTTCCAAAATGATAATGATAGTTGATGAGATCTAACAAATAAAAAATAAATGGTTGACAACATCTTCAAAGATTCTTTGAAAATCTAATTGGTCTCTGGGAACAACTGTTTTGGGAAATTTTAGTCCTATATAGAAATTAATGGATTACATGTAAAGAAAACTGAAATTTGTAATTATGTGTAGATTTTGAGCAAACAGAGCTAAATCAGATTCTGACTGTTAAAAGTTTACTGTTTGTGATTTATAATGAAATGAGATCTTCTTATATATTCTTAGAATATTAATGTATATTATGAATCGGATACAGTTTCTAACTGAATATAAACCTAATCTTTACAAATATATATAATACTTACATAAATCCAAAGTTTCAAGGCAGACTGTCGGTAAAGATTAATAAGCACAATTTCTAAACTGTTTTAAAATGGTCTTTACCACAGATGTACCTGACCATGGGATATTAATCAAAATATAATTTCAGGGATGTTGGGAAATGACTGAGATGATTTATTTTCAAATAAGAAGTAGTAGGAAGCAAGAAACCTTGAAGTGAGCACTGCTTCATACTGTAAAACTAGAAAAAAATTGTTAGGGAAAAAGGTATGTCTTAAAAATTGTAGGTGATTAGGTATGTGAATACTGTAATGCTGTTAACAATATAGGAAGAAGGGTCTATTACATGAAAAGTGCTTCAGAAAATTCTGCTACAATGTTTGGGTCCCATAAATTAACAAGTGGTTTCTTTGTCTGTTAATTTATTTGTTAACATTTTGCTAGCTGTCATAAGGATTGACTGATTATGCAGCTTTATTTAAATTTTAATAAAAATGCAAAGATCATCCAAAATAAACAAATATAATTATACACTGTGAAAAGCTGTAATGAATACTGCAGAAGAACAACACAAGAAAATTAATTTCACTGTACTGGATTCTAGGCACCTAGAGGTCTCAGACTGCGAGGTCACAGATGATCCCAACTCAAGCAGGATTATCGTGAAGCTAAATGAGTACAGTGGTAACTTAACAACCTCTTCCCCTTGCTAATAACTTTGCCTATTAACTTTGGAGTATGAAATGATTTAAATAGTATGGCCTCCATGAACTGATGATCAGTTATTAAATAAAATGGTTTGCCCTAACTAGTAACAATGATTCCCAAGAAAATGACTTTTTGACCCCAAATATGGATATGATATGCCATCTAAAAACAAAAAAATCATTTTGTTCAATCTACTTTTGTCTTAAATTATTAACATCATGAACAATAAATACATATTGTCTAGTTCCCAAAAGAAAGTGTTTTTATTTTGTTTCATGGTTTTGAAATAATGCAAGATCATTTTACTTACTTTTGAACTTTTTCACTGGCTACTTGGGAGGCCTCTACGGCATGCTGAAGTTGTAATTCCATGTTTGCTCTCTCCGTCAGAGCTTGTTGCAGTTGGGTAGCCAGTTCCTCATTTTGTTGTTGAGTGATGGAAACAATGCTTTCTCTGTTTTTTAAAGCTTCTTCATAGGTACTAAGGGTATGGTTAAACTGATCCTTCAGATTTTCTTCCTGAGATAAAGATTTGTGTAAACTGAGAAAATACAAAAATAAAGATAAAAAAATGTATGCTGACCAATCAATGATCTATTTGACAAAAATCTTCATTTAGAGTCCCCATTTATAAAATCAATAAGGAAATATTTAAATGAGTAATTATAATTGATAATTTCTCTGCTACTAGGCTACAAGCTATTCAGACAAATGATTTTGCTACCAAAACATACAAAAAGATGCTACAAGATGTTAATTTAATTATATCAACATAAATATTATTCAATTGTCTTTAAAAGGAATAGCAGAGAACTGGAAAATAAAGTATCTCTAGGCAAACAAAAGAATATAATAAGCTGACTGCAAAGAAGTGAGAAATAAGAGAATGGGTATTGATTTAGGAGATCCAGGGTCTATCTGCTAAGCATTTAATGATAATGAATGAGGTTTATGCAAATACTGACCAGCCTTATACACAGCATTGTCTACTTGTCATAGTTGAGGTATAAATGAAGTTAAAATCACTAGTCAGACTGCACAGAAATAATACATTTCAGATATATTTTTGGTTAATGAATCTTATGACAAATACATCCATTCATTAAGTTATATAGAGAAATAGCATATAAATTAAGACTAAATGAATGCAGAAGAAAATGCAGACAAATAGAATCCTAAAATGCTAAAGGTCAAATCTTTGATATGTCATTACACCCACCACCTGAGGTTATTCTGAAATGGCACCAAGCACCTCACTCAATTAAATATAGACATTTTGAAAATATAAATATTTAATAAAGGAAATTTAAAATCCACATAGGAGATGTTCTTTTTTTATTAAATAAAATCATTTCAGTATATGCATACAAAGGAAATGTGGATTAGAGACTTGAAGTAAAACAATCTAACTAGATAATACAGATTGATAATATGAAAGAAAGCAATATAATTCCCAAACCTGCAAAAAGCTAGTCTGTGAACCTTAGGACTAGCCTAGTATCTACCTAGTTTGATACTTTATATAAAACTGTTCAAACTAATTATAAATCTTTTCTTTCAGTTTAAGTCACTGATAATATGCCTTTACAGTGTTCTCACTTTGGAGAGGGTACCCCATAGGAATAAGATGGACATAAAACAAGAACAGTCAGCAAATCATTTCAGGATTCAAATTTGTCCCTAAGAACAGAGACTATTACTAAACTCTGGTCAATTGGCTACTATATACGAAATTACAATGGTGCATAGCATTACATTTGTAGAGTACAAAAAAGTATCTTCCTTTGTGTTTTTCACATTGTTATTAATTTAACTAAGCCAATTTCATTTTTCAGTTCTATCAACCCATAAGCTTAAAGACTATCTCTTGCTCATTTTCTTATTCTATGTCCTTTCACACTTTCTGCATCCTGCCTGTTCCAAGTTCCAATTTTCTTCACTCAACCCTTTTTATCCACTTGAAAGATACAAGAAAGAATCTAAAAACAAAGGAACAAACAAAAAATTCTGCTTATGTTCTTTACATTTACAACATTACTTTTTAATTGTTCATTATATTATAAATTACATAAAGTACACAAAAAGTATGCAGTGTTACATAAAGTACACACAAAGTATACAAAATGTAAGAAACAAAATATAGAATAAATGCAGAAACCTACAAAATCCCCTACTGTTCCCTCCCAGCTGATTCCCTTCTGAAAAGGTAATTACTAATCCAACCTCCATCAAGAATAGTATTGCCTGTTTTTGAACTTATTGTCTGGCTTACTTTGCTCAACATTAGGTTTATGAAATTCATTCTGTCGTTGCATGTAGATCATTGTTTTTTATTGCTATGAATTATTCTGTTATATATATACCATAACTTATTTAACCATTTCACTGTTATTATTATGAATATTCTTGTACATGTCTTTTGATGGACCTAAGTATTCATTTCTGGTGTAGAATTTCTCAATAGGGTGTATGTATATTCAGATTAATAAGATGCTGCAAACAGTCTTGCATATCGGTTGTACCAATTTACGTTCCCATCAGCAATGTATGAGAGTTCTAGTTGATCTACAGCTTCCCACACGTTGGTATTGTCAGTGTTTTTAACTTTAGTCATTCTAATATAGGTGCAGTGATATTTCATTCTCTTAATGCTGTCTTTTTTTTTTTTTTTTTTTTTTTTGAGACAGAGTCTCGCTTTGTTGCCCAGGCTAGAGTGAGTGCCGTGGCGTCAGCCTAGCTCACAGCAACCTCAAACTCCTGGGCTCGAGCGATCCTTCTGCCTCAGCCTCCCGAGTAGCTGGGACTACAGGCATGCGCCACCATGCCCGGCTAATTTTTTATATATATATCAGTTGGCCAATTAATTTCTTTCTATTTATAGTAAAGATGGGGTCTCGCTCTTGCTCAGGCTGGTTTCGAACTCCTGACCTCAAGCTATCCGCCTGCCTCGGCCTCCCAGAGTGCTAGGATTACAGGCGTGAGCCACTGCGCCCGGCCAATGCTGTCTTTTGATTTAGGTTAAGTTCTTAATCTAAATGAAGTCCAATTTATCATTATTTCTTTAATGGCACTGCTTTTTGTGTCCTTTTAAAAAAAATTTTGGCCTACTCAATTATTTATATTTTAACCTTAAATATATGGCCTCATTTAAAACTCAGTGGGCCAGCTTAGTTTAGGAATTCTGCATTTGTCTATCATGTCTAAAACACTAACCAGTATACCATAACCAATTAAATGTTAAGAATCAATGATTCACTTTTTAAAATCTCCCATTATTAAAATTATGGCATCTTGACTTAATTCCTTAATTATTCGTCACTTCCTAGTCCTGCATCATTTAATCTTTTTTGGGAAAATTTATACCTGATTTTGAGTTTTCTCTCAGATGGACATGTGTTGGACCCTTTATTCTCAAGTTCAAAAAGCTACTCATCATTCAAAATGCCTTGGAAACCTTTTAATTACCATCAAGACTTTTCTAAACAAAAGCAGTAGCTCAGTGATCTTTTACAAAAAGATAAAGTAGATAATGTCCCTTAAAATCCTGCAATAGCATTTCATTGCACTCAGGAAACAACCTCTAAAAAATAACAAATTATATATTTGAACTCATTTAATCTCACAACCTATGTGAGAAGTCCTATTAATACTCCTTTGTTACTGATAAAGAAACTGAAACAAAGAGAAATCAATCAGTCCCATGCATGTAGCAGAGCCAGAATTGGAACCCCACAGTCTTTCTCCCTGCACTTAAACACTCTCCTATATTTGATGTAGTCTAGAAAGCCCTGTATTGTCTGGCCTCTCTACCTCCTTCCTTACATTTTAGTTAGGCATTCTCAAGCACATCCAGCTTTTTCTTACTTTAAGGGATTTATTGGGAATGGCTTTCCCTCCATGCTTCTACCTGACAAACTCCATCTCATCCATTAAATCTCAATATAAGTATGGCTTTCACAGATAAATCTTTGTGACTTCAATCTAAATATTGATGTTGTTTCTTTGTTAGTCAGTCTCATAGACCCTACTGTTTTTTTGCTTAGAACTTATAATAACAATTCATGGGTTTTTCAATGCCGTCTTGTGATTTACCTCCCAATTCCACCATATTAATACTACATTTACATAGAGTAATTTTATTTTATGAGAATATATTTCTTAAGAACCTGAATAAGTCAAAATGTTTATAATTCCAAGGAAATTTTAATATAGGAATAAAGGTGAAGTAGGAGGGCTATATTCCCAGCATATATATATAAACCTATAACTACTGAAGCACATTTTTGCTTTAGGGCTTCTTTTCCTCAGAGTGCTCATCCTCAATTGGTGACAGGGCCCCATTGTTTAGCTTTCTTCAGAAAGTCATATCACATTTAACCTCTTTCCAAAGTTACTAATTTTCAGATGCATTTTTTAAGCATAGAAGTAGCATAATAACTCAAGGGCTCTTAGATTGTATGGGAACATATTTTAGGTTATAGTAAAAATAAATGATAAAATAACATCAGAAGAGTCACTAAATCACTCTCAGAAGTTCCAAAGCATATAACCAATAGTGTGGCTCATAAAATATCTGCACAGGATGGTAAATATTTCTTTTTACCAAGAAGGTAATAAAGTAATAGGATAAAGTGTCAATTCACTCTTCCAGTTTTGAATTAGATATTTCTTAATGAATTAATTTTCTAATTTAATATAGAAAGTAAGACTTCAAAAACTATTTTGACTGAGTAACATTTCATATAATCACATCCCATAAGCCTGTACATTATCTCCTATGCTGCTTACCATGTTGAATCCAATGGCAGGCCAAGGTAGAAAATGTCCTTCAATGGGAGTACCATGTAATAGATCTCTTTTCTGTAGTGGCTTCTGTCTTAGTTTCAATGGTTCCTGGTCTACTGCCTCCTGTCTGTGGCCCTATTTTCCTGGTCCCTGACTCTCTATCCTATCTCAGCTTTAAATATCTTGGAAGTATCAAGTTTATGACTTGCTTATATAATATTTATGTTTTCTTCAATTTGTCTGCTTACCTGCTTGTGAAACTTTCTCACTCAATGATAATGTCATACATGGATTCAGCTTATTCTTGCAACTAATACTTTTCCAATTATACCAAGTTTTGATGCCATTTTCCCCAACTTCTTCTTGTCTCCACAACCAAGTATTACTCAAGTCCTTACATGAGATCATTTTACTTATCATCCTACAATTTGCAGTAACTCTTCTCTTTATGCTTCATTTCTTTTACAGTAATTGTTCAATTGTGTGTTCTATATATGTCATTTATTTTAATTGGATAAATATTTTGGAATAAAATTTAGAGGTGAGGTACAAAAATATAGATCAGTAGTTCTTTGCCCTTCAGAGGACATTTTGCAATGTCTGAAGACATTTTTGGTTGTCACAACTGGAGTAGGGGTTGGGGGGAGTGCTACTAGGATTTAGTGGATAGAGGTCAGAGATGCTGCTAAACATCCTATAATACAGAGGACAGACCCCCACAACAAGGAATTATCCAGACCAGTATGTCAAGAATGC